TTTCTTAATCTCCGTGCCAAGTCAAAGTGGAAAGAATTTTCTGGGAGAGGGAGTATATATAAAACCGTATTAGGCGACTCTCTTGTAATGTTGAAGTGATTGAAGTAATAGGAACCGTTTAAGTAAAATGACTCAAATCACTAAACAAAGTCCGATTAGAGGATCTCCGGTAGTTACAATTAAGGAGTTGCTCGTAATTTTGAAAATATTAAAGTTACTGGCCTACGATTGGAATGCATTTATTCTCCTAACTTGGGCAAGCAAAATAGTCACAAAATTTTTCTTCACGGATTTTTCTATTAGGCTTTGACTTTGCAACCTATTCAGAAATTTCTCTTAACAAAGTGTTATAATGAGGTGCTAAATCTAGGGTTTTTTGAAAATACGAGTGCAAAGTCTAACATCGCTCAAAAAGTGGGGTGCCAGCTCTATGTTTTTTAAAATACCATGCAGAGTTCAATGTCACTCAAATAGTATGGTTCAAAGCCAGGATTTTCCGAATTTAAATTTTATGCTCCCATTCTGCCAATTTTACTCATATTTAGATAATTGCCTCATCATTCAATTAAAACATTTTAAATTTTTAAAAATGAAATATGATGGAGTAATCGGACTAGGCCCAGAGCCTAATCAGCCCAAGCCCCGAACTTGGACCCGTGTATCCAAGTCCATAACCTGGAGCCTGTCTGCCAGCCCAGCGGGGAGCCTGCCAGTCCGGCCGACCTCCCAGCACGGAAGACTAACGGTCAAGCAATTAATGCGCTATTAATTATGTATTTAATTCCGTATTAATGTTGTATTTAATTGGTCATTATTATCAGTTGCGGTTACGATTTGTATACGCCTATAAAAAGGCGGCTTGTAATTCATATTAGAAAACAACTTCTATATGCTATTTCTGGCTAACTTTCCATATTCGCACTTTCCTAATTCTTGTTTGAGTGTCGTACGTAGCTTTCCTAAAAGCCTACGAGCGTCCTATTTTGGACCAACATTGGTGCTTTCATTGAGAGCTTGATCAATAATCAAGTTAGATCCTCCCGGAAAATACAGAAATTCATCACAAAAACAAAAGAAATACATCGAAACAGTTCGGTAAATCACAATTTCGAAATTTCGGATCTGGATTGCAAAAAAAAGAGGAAAAATTTATGGAATTTTCAAGATCTACACCGGAGATGACATTGCTGGCCACCCTCGAGCAGTGTGTTACAGTAGAAATATTTCACTGGGCTCACCTACCCGCTCCCGGATCTCGCCGCCGCGGAGTTGCTGCCAGGCGCCGTGATATGAAGCTCGTCGCCGCTGGCCTGGAAGGTTCAGATCTGAAACTTTAACTGAACCTGCACTGTCGTCGTCGTCCTGGCTGCCGCCAAGCACAGAAGCACCTACCGCTGTCCCAGATCTCACCGAGCTAGCGACGTCCTCCTAGGCCAGCATGAGGGTCATCTTCGCTCCGCAGCTCCTAGGCCGGCATCTCCACTGCGTGTAGGTTGGACTCCACCAGGTCAGCACCATCATTTTCAGGTGGGGCGTCACTTCCAGGTCGGAAATATGGAGTTTTCTTGCAGGTAAGAGAAGTCTGGCACCCTTGCAGGCCGGCGAATCTAGGCCGGGGGTTCGCCCTGAGGTCGGCGGCTGAATCCCCAGATCTAGTGGTGTAGCTTGGCGACAAAACTCTTGGGTTGGTGATGTAAATTTGACGGTGCTCCGGGCGACGTGAGTCCTCCAGGCCGCACTAACGGCCGCCCTCCGATGGCAGACGACCCATCCGATGGAAGTGGCGGCAGCCGACTTCCTTTCCTACTGCGACGGCGGCTGTTCTCCACCTCTGTGATGTCCAAAGGACCTTTGCTCCAGACCTCTCTCACCACTTCTCCCTGATCCTCAGCTGCCTCCGTTCTTCACCAATGTACCAGGGTGGGGTTCTAATCCGCTAGCCGCCAGTCTCCGTTAGGGGGGGAAATCCAGCCTCAGCTCCGGGTCACTCCAGCCCCACAGCGACGGTACCAAGCCGCGACTCCGGTTCGGGACCCATGGTGCTCCTCCCCTGAGTTAAAATGGTGGCGTTGCATTCCCTTTGAACGAGGACAGATACACAACTCATGAGCTCCAAAAATTAGATCCGAAACCGTCTAAAAGGAAAAGGCCACTAAAAGTGACAGCCAGCCAAATTATTTGCCTCTTTGGAACTAGGTCAATTGTGTTGACCAACTCTGGGGCTTAGAGCTCAAAGCTTCCTTCCAAACACAACCTGACCGAACATAATCAGTCGAAGAAGCTAAGTGCTCATTTCTCATTTTTATTATTATTATAAAAGACCTTACAAAAAAATCATAAATTGAAACATTTGAAAAGATATTTTAAGTGGCGTAATTGCTTTAACTCTTGTTGAGCGTGTGCAATTTTAACATTGAAAAATGGACTTATGAAATCCGATCACTCACGTACACCGGACGAGCACACACACTCGTACAATGGCCGAGCACACACACTCGCACCACCGAGTCATGTCATATGAGTGTGGCGATTAATAAGCTCCAATATAAATGTTAATACCTCACACTCTTGACTTCTTACTGGTTCTTGCGTGCTCTTACCTCTTCCTAGTGCATCACACTCCGACCTCGGGGAACGAGTCACCCGTTCAAAAGTCTTTACTTGCGGGTTCGAACTACTAACCTCGGGCGGCGAGTTAAACTCTTGTTAGGGGCCTAGAGACACGCTTTTCCGAGCAATTTTGTCACTTAATTGACGTTCACATTTCTCGAAAAGGTTGATATACTTTAGTTCTTTGGGGTTGGATTATCCGTTCGAGTGAGGAGTCCGCCTCACTTACTCGCGGATTCAATCTTTCTTTCGGAGACTGGGTTGAGGCCTAACTTGGGAACTTGATGTCACTCTTTTCAAATAGTGAGTCCGACTCACTTACATACTGAGCCGTGGTTCGACACCAGGCCAGATTCTCTATTCTACACTAGTTTCTTTTATGTGTAGGTACAACTGAATGAAGTGGGGGACTGAGGGTCTTACCGTCTTCAAGGAAGCAAATGACGAACTTGACGAGTCTGAGCCCAACGAAAAGAACAGTTCTAGCCATCCTATTCGCAGATGGCGACCATTACAATAAAGGCTGAGGATCTCACCTCTTGCTTCATCTTGGGGGCGTCAGATGTACTCTTTTTCCCTTCATTAGGATTTTTTCCCATTGGGTTTTTTCCTAATGAAGTTTTTTAATGAGGCATCTCCCCAACACGGACAAGGGCGGGATCTTCTAGTCTCGGAGAAGAGCAACTGACTTGGACTACTCCCTCTTAGCCGAGTCTACGACTCGACTAGGGGAGTGGGGGACTCGTGATGGAGTAATCGGACTAGGCCCAGAACCTAATCAGCCCAAGCCCCGAACTTGGACCCGTGTATCCAAGTCCACAACCTGGAGCCTGTCTGCCAGCCCAGCGGGGAGCCTGCCAGTCCGGCCGACCTCCCAGCACGGAAGACTAACGGTCAAGCAATTAATGCGCTATTAATTATGTATTTAATTCCGTATTAATGTTGTATTTAATTGGTCATTATTATCAGTTGCGGTTACGATTTGTATACGCCTATAAAAAGGCGGCTTGTAATTCATATTAGAAAACAACTTCTATATGCTATTTCTGGCTAACTTTCCATATTCGCACTTTCCTAATTCTTGCTTGAGTGTCGTACGTAGCTTTCTTAAAAGCCTACGAGCGTCCTATTTTGGACCAACAAAATAAGTACACATATATGGCTAATATAAATGTTGTTTATAAAAATTGAACCTCTTAGATATAGTGACTTATGACTATAACCCAAAAAGTGGAGTACAAAGTCTATATTTTTTAAAATGAGGTGCAAAGTCCATTATTACTCAAAAATTATGATTCAAAGTCAAAATTTCCCGAATTTAAACTTTATGTTCCTATTCTGCCAATTTTACTCATATTTACAGAATTGCCTCATCATTCAATTAAAACATTTTAAATTTTAAAAATGAAATAACTACACATATATGGCTAACATAAAAGTTGTTTACAAAAATGGAACCTCTTAAATATAGGGACGGTAATAGTAGTTTAGTTATTGGAGTATAACTTATGTTAAGTTTTTACTCTTAAGTGACTATGGGTATGTTTGGCAAATGGCTTATCAGCCAGCTTTTAGCTTGTTTGACCCATTTCAACTCTTTGATTAGTCAAAGAAGCTAATAATAATGTTTGGTAAATGGCTTTTAAAATTAGCTTGTTGAGTTTGAAAAGCTGAAAAAATGGATTGTGGAAGAAGCTAAGGGGAGCAGCTTCTTCATTTGGCTGGTTCAATTTACACTCTATCAGCCATTTCGAAAGAGCCAATTTTACCAAACAGTTATTTATAATCAGCCAACATAACCAGTCGGTCAAAACAGCTAACACAACCAGCTGTTGCGAAACAGCTGACACAACCAGCTACCAGCAACAGCTAACAACCATTTACCAAACAAGGCCTATGTGATTATACTATATGAGGAATGATCCCGTCCTGTCGCAGGGACAAGATTCTCCGTCCGACCGCCGCCATTCGGGATGGTTCTTGATGAAATTTTTTTAAGAATTTTTTGAGCACGATCATCATCAAGTATAGTTTATCCACAAAACATTTCAGCTAAAAATTGATGGGGAAGATATTCAAATAAATTCTTGAAGATAACTGCGCCAAAATATATATATATAACGGAATTATTTTCCAAAATTCATTTGACTGTCTTTCCGATTGAATTTTTAGCTTAAATGTTTTGTAAACAAGCTAGACTTGATGAAGAACATGCTCAAAAAATTTTATCAAAAATTTCCATCGAAAACTGTTCCAAATGGCGACGTCCGGACAGCGGGTCCTGACCATTAATCATATTTTTGTAATTAAATTTTAAGATAGTATTTCTGTAATTAAATTTTACGATAGTATTTCAATAATATTTGTGAAAAACTTTTTAAAAAATAGGTGGTATATTCAACTGCCACGTCAATCGTTTCTTTCATGCCGCGCTGTTCCACTCTCAGAGACGATCTGAGATTCAGCAAATGCCTTTCTTGGCTTCGCACACCATTCTTTCCGGATTAAGCCAAGCTTCTGTAATTAATAAATCAAAATCGGAATAATAAATCCCTGCAATGAGAAAGTTCTCAACTTCGATTTTTCCAGGGCTCGTACGTGGAACTTTTAATCTGAGAGTCAATGCGCTGCGGTTCTACTGTGATCGCCCACACCCTGGTCCGCTTCATCCCTTCAAATTCGCATGAGCTAACCCTTTACAGAATTATTCATCTCTTTGCTGTTTTTTTTTGAAAATACTAGCATCGTTTTAGAGAGGTTTAGAGTGTAGCAATTTTATGCCTATTTCACTTCTGTTTAGCTGCTGTAAATATTCTGACTTTGAATGGCTGAACTCCTGAAGCTATTAATGATTAAAGCGCAGTTTCGAAATACAGCAAGGGCTGCCTAAAATAAACTTGTGATCCATATCCAATAGCAAAAGACTCCTCAGTATTTTATTAAGCATTCGAATTTAGTTAGAAATATACCATATTCAAATAGAAAAACAGTTTTGTATAATTGTATGATTGTATCATGTCATAAATTAATAAATTTATCTTTCTGCTTGCTCATAGAGTTAAAACTAACAGACTCAGAGTTAAAACTTTAACCTAACCTATTATTTAGCTAAAAGAGCTAGTGATGTGAAACTCTTTTAGATGAGATACATTTCTTATCTTCGCGTTGATAGACATTGGAAGGGAGAAAGAGTGATATAGGATGACTAGACATTGACATTTTTCTGTATGTTGTTTCTGTTTGATCATATTAGATGAAACACTTCCATGGAGAGATCTCAATTAGGGCTGTACATCAGACGAGTTGGGCGGGTTAGCAACATTTTTTGGGCCTACCCAATTTGCTCGGGTTGACTATTAAACAACCCGCAGTATGCAGTATAAGGTTGGGTATTAAAAAAATCGTTTCGGGTTGTACCTTTAATGTGGGCATTGGGCAACTGATGCAGCCAATTTTAAACTCGGCTAACTTGTTCCAAAGTACACAAAAAAGTAAATGTTTGTATGACGAAACCTTGGGTATTAGTATCACTAACATCCTTGTATAAAGGAAGTTCATTTAGAAGCAAATGTAATAAATTAAGTAGTCAAAATGATAAATATTTATAATTTCATTCACTTAAAGTCTTAGAAAGAGCATAGCATTCTTAAATAGAAAATATTCAACAAAACATTGTACTCCATAGCATAATAATTGCAAACTGAAGCGAAACAAAGTTCATCAACAGCCAAGTAAAGTAACCTTCTGTCGGCCGTGTCGGCTATTATCGGATTTGATATTTTAATTCCGCAACCCTACTTGCCCATAAGGTGTGTTTGTGCATATTTAACCCATGGTTAGTTTTTTGAATCAAATACCCAATTGAAAATGACTGGATAGGTCTGGGTTGGCCGGGTTATGCGAGTTAGGTTACTCTTGTGCAGCCCTAATCTCAATATTGCATCTTTAACCTCAGGAGTGCTTGCGTATTATAGGAGCCTTGTTGATCAAGGGAAGCTGCAACATGATTCTTACCAAGAAAAGGTTGCTGTTGAACTAGAAAATCTGCTTGGAAGTTTGAAGCAGTATGACAAGGACATGGAGGAATACCATGTGGGATATCAATCAATTTTAATTGCTATTAATTAATTAAAATGATCAATGCAATGCAATTTATGCTTATGTAGTTATGTTCCAATTTGTTTCTTTTTAGTTTAATCTTGCAAAATGGGAGGAGAAAAGGGAAAATGAGCGCCGCAGGCTTCTCATGGAAGAGGCAAACCAGCAAAATGCATTGAACGTCACTAAAAACCATCAAAGTGTTCTAAAGAAATGGATATATAGGTGAGAAAAAGAAGAAGCATATTGTGGCGGGCTGTGGGAAAACAAAACATTTCATCAACTCAATGGATAGATTTATTTTGACTGCCTTCTATAGCATTGGGCAGTCAGATGTTTTTCCCAGACTTGGTTGCTTTTGGTTCTAATTGACCTCCAAGATTTAACAAATTTGTTGGAACATCTGCATTAGTTTTGCTTTCATGGTATTTTCTTACAGAGTAATATTATGAGACCTGTAAGCTTATCTTTCTTTCCCATTTATTTTCTAACAAGTACTATTTGAAATGTCACCTAAATGTTCAGTTAATCTTTTGCATCAGATGGATAAGAATACTATAAATTTTATTGAAGCATTGAACTTCTGTTTGAACCTCATACTTTGAAGAATTATCCTTCAACTACAAGCAGAATATATGAAAATATCAGATAATATATTTGTTTTGAATTGTATGCAAACTAACTTTATAACTTCTTGAGTACATTTCAATACGAAATATGTCCTGTTGACATCTTTCTATTACATCACTTTACATTTAATTTTTCCATACCAGCTACTTTTTCAAGGTGATGCATAATTGACCTGTCGTTTTTCTTGGCTTAGGAAAAAACCAGGAAATGTAGAATCAGGAGTGGGAAAATGGGTTTCATATCTAAACCGTGAGAAGAAGTTAGATTCAGTTGTTGGTTTCCGTCCAAGTGCTCCTCCAGCACCAAAAGGACTATATCTGTATGGGAATGTTGGAAGTGGTAAGCTTTAATGCCTTTGTGTTAGAATGGTTATTACTATATAAATTGTTCATCATCACCTTATTACCTACTCTTAGGGATTGGTGGAATGAAATTTGTTTAGAAGGTATGGTTAGTTAAGACATCACTATAAATTCATTCAAGAAAGCATACTGGTAAAGTTATACACCGGATTCCCTCATTGCAACCTTCTTGTTAATAAAGTAAGAAGGTCAGAAGGAATAAAGAGTTGGTGATGAATTGAGGTACTTGCTACTATCATGTTCATTACTAAATTAATTTTGTAAAACCAGTCTGCAAATAGTGAAAGTGGCGTTTGTTACTTCTTACTTACTTGAAGTTCTGCCTTCCCCGGTTTCTATCTTTAAGTTCAATGCTTCCATATAATTTGTACATAAGTGTGGAAAACACTTCTCATATCTTACCATGCCTGATTTCACATGCTTTAATAGTCATTTAACGTTTTGTTGTGCTTATTATTCTTATATGGTGTGATCATATATCATATGATATGCAATTTCCCCTAATGTCTGGTATCTAGTAACTTTCCCATCTTGTGTTTAACATTAATCATCGCCTAAACGGGCTGACCAACTTATGTAGTGCAGTGTGATGCATTCCCCACTCCCCAGTAGATGATTTTATTCTTGAAAGTAACTGTCTGACTCTGTTTTCTGCATTCTGTAGGGAAGACAATGCTTATGGATATATTTTATGGTGCCACGGAAGGAATTGTGAAACATCGAAGAAGGTTCCACTTTCATGAGGCAAGTGCTTGCTTGTGATCATTATGATGACCCTATACAATCTTGGATGGAAGCGTACCAAACCAAAACTTGAAGAAATCGCCTTAAAATTAGTTAATTTTGGTTCTTTACGTTCAGAATCTTTACATGCAATTCACTTGATGTAGTGGGCTGAATTGGCAGGCTATGCTTGAAATTCATCAACACATGCATAGGACTTGGAAGAGTCAATTAGAGCAAAATTATCAACAATCAAACATTTCTGGTTGGATCATGAACCTTCCATTTGATACAAAAGTCAAAGAATGGATAGCTGGTGAAGAAAAATATAAGCAAGAGATTCAAATGCAGAACATTCTTCTTGATGTTGCTGACAAATTTCTTGTCAACCAGGAGGGGAACAAGGGAGGAGCAAGCATTTTGTGCTTTGATGAGATACAGGTAAATAGCCATAACACTAAAGAAGGCAAACGTAATGCATGTAGTCAGTAGTTACTGTTCTAAAGAAAGTTTAAACCGTAAAAGTAATACAAGTACTAAAGATTTCATATGCATGTGAAATATTTGTGTGAACAAGGCATGGCTGTTGATAACTACATTATTAAGAAGCCGTTGTACAATTTGTAGCAAATTTTAATGGAAAAGCTCCTCTTTTTGTCAATTTGATTTGCCTTCACCTCTTTTTAAGCTAGCAATTCATGTACAATTGAAAATGGCCTTCAGAATTTTACAGAGTACAGAGATCACATGCTGTACTATTCTTATCTTAATAAAATAAATGAGATGGTTTTAATAGTATTTATAAATATTTTTAAGACTAAAAGAATTAGTCCAAAATCCAACACAGGAGTAGACCATGGATAGGGAAAAAGTGAGTGAAAATGAACAAGAGAGAATATGACACTATTAATTTATTATTAATGTGTGTTTATTGAACTAGTTTTTTCTGAAGTCATTATCTGATGGAACCCTCTGTACCATAATCAGTTTCCAAGAATTTGCCGTCGAATGTGGTCAGTTTCCTCCCACCCGATTTACAAGATGACCAACGAAGCTTCTATCTGGGAGTTCAAAGTCTATGTCACCATCTTTGATCCCCCTCCCTGACCAATTTTTTAGCTTCACACCTAGGTCAGTGCCTCTCTTCTTCTTTCAGTGTGCCTTTCATCCTTTGGTGCAAAACAATCATTTTCCTCCGGTTTGATATGGTGTACAAAGTATGATGGAATAAAGCAATTTTCGACGCGATTTTCATCATGGGTCATCCGGAAATAGTCTCTCTGTTTTTTAGCACATTAATTTAGGGGTAAGGCTGCGTACATCCGATCCCTTACCCCACCGTAGGTTTGATATGTTGTTGTCTTTGCTGTTGTTTGATATGGTGTACCAACTATGCCCTTGTACGCTTCTGTTTGAGCACGTACATCTACATTTGTTTTGTACATTTATTCTGTACATACTTAGCTGGCATGTGTTCATTGGGTGATGAAATGCTAGAAAACTTTGCATTACTCAATAAACACATGGGAACTAAGAATGTACACAATAAATGTACATTCAGAATTATTGTTTCTATTATCCTCATATTCTTTCTGTATGTGCTTTCCTAACCTCAGAATCAATGTTCTCACATAGCTCCCACCATCCTAAAATCAGCAGAAATACTATCTATCTCCAACCTTAACCTCCTTTCAGTTTCGACTCCCAACTACTCTAATGGCAAACTTGAATACTGAACAACACCTGCTTTTTACCTACTAAACTTTTGGCGTGACACAGTGTACTTTGTACGTAACACTAGCTAAGATAACCAGTCCCTTCCATCCATTTTTATTGTTCATGGATGGAAGATGAGTTTATTGGTTCCAGACTGAAAGATTTTAAAACGTCTTGAATGAGAATTCAAATCTGTTTCTTTGTAACCTACTAACCTTCATGTAAAAGTGAAAGACAGATTATTGATTTTAATTGGTATATTTTTTAAAAATTACAGACTGTTGATGTTTTTGCTATTGTGGCCTTGTCTGGAATTGTTAGAAGATTACTGAGCGCGGGAACTGTTCTTGTGGCAACCAGTAATCGTGAACCAAGAGACTTAAATCAGGTGCACCTGAAATCTTTCTTTGCAAATTTTTTACATACTTAAAGATCTTATTAGATCTGCACCCCTTTTTGTCTTATCATACTTTATGCCCAATGAGTTTACTAAAATTACGGTTCTTTGTTCAGGATGGTATGCAATGGGAAATCTTTGACAAGTTAGTAGAGAAACTTGAGGATCACTGTAAATGTGTTCTGATTGGAAATGAAATAGATTATCGTCGCCTTATAGCTCAAAGATCTATAGATCAGGCAAGTTAAAGCATGTTTGTTAACTAGTACTTTCCCATAGCGGCAGATACCGACTTAAGCTAATGCCAAATTTAGTTCTTCAATTTTACATTATTACCCAGATGTAACCTTTTTTTTCCTAGACTCAACTATGTAATTTGGATCGAATTTAGTTCTCAATATACTATTCCTGTGGACTTAGTTAGATCCAACTTGCATAACTAAGGACCAAATTGAGTCCAAAAGAAGGTCATTACCAAATTGAATAGTTGGGTATCGTCGATTGACTAAATCGGGTATTAGCTATTCTGAGTTTTGTACCCCTTCTGAGAAATAAAGTTGCTAATGTTGTCAGGTTCATTATTATTGGCCTCTGGATAGCAAAAGTAAACAAATATTTGAGGACATGTGGAGCGAGACAACAAAAAAGTGTGGTAGAAATGTTACTTCTGAGACAGTTCAAGTGATGTTTGGAAGGTAAATGATATGTTATTTACTTTTCCTAGAATTTTTTATTTGAGCCACGTGATAGGCATGCTATTTCCATCCAGAACATTGGAAGTTCCTCAGAGCTGCAATGGGGTGGCACGATTTACATTTGAATATCTCTGTGGCCGACCGGTAATTGCGACTTTTTTGAACGAGAGTACTCTTTATATGATAATAGGTTACTTCTTCAGTTCTACGGAACATAGCACAACCAACTTTAATAAAATGGAGCAGTTTTTCTGTTCAGAGCAGTTAGAGCCCATTTGGTAGGCTTGGTTTACAGGCTATCACCGAGTTTTTTCACCAATCACTTCTTTATGATTATTTCATTATGGTGATTGTATTGTCCATAATGAAAAAGTAGTGAATGAGGTAATTTTTATGGCTGAACTATATGAAATTGATACTTTACTATAGAAGTTGTTATCTCTAACTGTCTTTATTATAATTTGATTTATTTTTAGATCCTTAAAATTTCATCAAATTAAGTCATTTATCCATAAGTTTTGCAAGTTTGGCAGAATCAACCACTTCAACCATTTTAAGCCTTGTTAACTGGGTCTTGATTCTTGACCCTCTGAGTAACCAAAGACAAAATCATCAACTTCATATATTTTTGTTTTATTATTATTAAAGTACGAGGTTAGAATTTAACATTAGATTAATTGGAACAAATAGTGAAAACATTATTCTTTGCCATCATTACTAGCCCTATCTAGATTTGTCCATAGTTAATACTTGTGCCACCACTAAATAATAGATGTAGCATCCATAATTTTTCATGGGAAACTCTTCTTTTTATTTTGATGTTTGTGTTTAATATTTGTAGATTGGAGCAGCAGATTATATTGCAATAGCTAACAACTATCACACAGTCTTCATCACAGACATTCCTGTAATGAGTATGCGCATCAGGGACAAGGTTAGATTATTTACTGAGATTCTTTCAGGGTCGGTTTGGATGGTCGGGGAATTTTGTACTCGCACTTCATGCTTGCCCTAAGATATGACTTTGCACATCATATTTTATTTTCTTTGAGTAAGCACAGGGTGGAACTGTGGAAGTGCCAAATTTTTCATTAGACTTTGCACCTCATGCTTACCTTAATATTTGACTTGGCACCACAATCTTGGTACAATGTCAAATATTGTGATATTAACGGGATGCAGCTATGAAAGTACCAAATCATCTTCTGTAAACTGTTCCATAAACACAGAATGCTAATGACATACTTTGAGGCCATAAATCATGATTATCTCAACTCAACGCCTGTCTTATTGAAAAACAATTGTAGTGCTCCCACCACTATAGTAACTAATCTCACAACTGGATTGAGAAAAGTGCTACAGTTTAGTCTGCTTTGCTACTTAATCTGTTTACTTTAGGCTTCTGTGTGTTAGGCTAGGAGGTTTATCACCCTGATTGATGAATTATACAATCGCCATTGCTGTCTCTATTGTTCTGCTGAAGCGTCTATAGATGATCTATTTCAAGGAACAGAAGAAGGAACATTGTTTGATATGGAAAGGCAAGTACACTCCTGCTTATTTGTACTAGGACTGGAAACCAAGGATTAGTTTCTTGATTCTCGAAGGGTATACTCAGGGCCGGTCCTGTCCAGTTTTGGGCCTACGGGCGATATACTATTTTGACTTTATTTCCAAGACACACAGGAAATTATACATACCTAAAGTAAAAATTACAAAGGATAATAAAACTATGAGAAATTACTCTAAATAGGACTAAAAACGTGTGTATATTCCAAACTAAGATTATCATGTTTTTATTATCTAAATAGAAGTAATTACTGTCATATTTTGACAGTATCATACTTTACACATGGTAGTATTTTCCGAACATGACAGTAATAACTCATATTCAGAAAATAAACACATGATAGTTCTATTTGGAATTTTCAAACAAAAAATTACCCCTATTTCAGGAATTCTCCCTACAACTATCTAATAAAGGTTATAAAATAAAGATGAAATTCACCTTCATAGTATTTGAAATACATATTTGGACAAAAGTAACAACGCATATCACAAAAAACATTGTGAAGTAAAATCATTAATAATTGTTTTATAATCAATCTTTTCCAAGATCGCATGTGCAATGTTTAAAATTGTTAATCCATTAAGTTTTTTGAGGCATAATAGATAATTGGGATGATGTTTGAGAATTGGGAGGCATTGGCAGCCCAAATACAATAATATAAATTGATAATTTTGCAATAAAAAAGAGTAAAAAGCTTTAAGGGCTAAAAGATGTGAAGAGACATGCTTTTATTGATTCAAAACTAAATTTACATTCTTTTTAAAAACTTGTCTAGCTCCATTCAAATTATCAACAAAAATTAAACATTGGGCCTAATTAATCAATTGAAAGTATAAATATAAAAAGAAACCTACTCAGATTTCATATAAAGAAAAAAAAACTTGGGCCTAATTTTCTTTCTACTTTTTTCGACCTAGGGCGGTCGCCCCTGCTGCCCTCCCCCTAGGACCGGCCCTGGGTATACTTGTATCACAGAAGTATGATAAGCAGTAAATCAAAGGGGAAACACGGAGGGAATTAATTTTTATGTTTGCCTTTACGTTTAGAAATGCAAAGGAAAATTTAATGGGTAAGAATTAAATGAGTAAGATTTATTTTTTCCCAAATCTGTTCTATATGTTTATATTTCTCAGTCTTTATATAATATGAATAAATAATAAAGATAAGTTTGAACTATATCAAAACCTAGTTTTGTTGAGTTTGGGTTTCTCCTTCATTCCCTTCCTGGTCTATTTCCTTTCTGTCTGCCTTTCAGTTTTCTTTCTATAGCATTTTCCGTGCTCCCAATGGACCTGAAGAAATGCATTGAATTTGAATTTTTAGTAATATGGTATAATAAAATGAATCTCAACACCAATGTCATTCCAAAACACACACACGCAGACATCTGCTTATTTTTATTTGCTTTACTTTTGTTTTTAGAAGTTACATATGTATCAAAAGACATGAAAGTCCTAACTTTTGACCTTCCATCTCCTGAACAATTTTTTAAAATCCCTAAAAAGCCCTAATGGAACAACTAAAAATTAACGAAGGGAGAGAGAGAGAGAGAGAGAGAGAGAGAGAGAGAGTAAATAACATAACCATGTATATTAGGAAAGACCGGTAGAAAGAATTTCTTCATATAAATTTTTACACAAATTTTGTTACACATAAACTAAAGGATTTTGTTACACGCATATTTATGTGCATTTTTTCCAGAACCGGATTGAGTTGATTTGTGCTTTTTTTCCAGCTTCCAGTTTGAAACGGAAATAGAAGGAGGGAGACTTAGGAGAGATGTTTTAGCTGAAGGTGGTATTAGTTCAGGAGGTTCACCAACTGGTATTATTTCCATGCTTTCTGGTCAAGAGGAGTTATTTGCATTTAGACGAGCCGTGAGTAGTTCTTTACAACCCTTCTTTATATTTTCTTATTACACGCTTCACAAACATCGCACATAATCATGTTCCCATAATTTACTCACAACTTCTTCTGAAAGTAAATGGATGCTGGGATTTATTACAATTACCTGTTGCTTTAAAAATAAATAATCCTATTAACAACATAAGAGCAGAAGTATGAGTCTCAACCTGAAAACCAAGACAATAAGATTGGGTAGTCCATCTGTTATATGGTTGTTGATCTGTGGGCAAATTTACGAGGTGGGATACTTCAAGGGTCCTTTTGGATCATAAATATGCTAGGGAAAAAAAATGGGGAGGAAAATAAAGGATTGGGTCAGTTTCAAATCTTTCAATAGATTTATTCAACTTATTTAATTATTTCCATCATATAAAGACTAAGAAACTTGACCATATGGAAAAGAAATATAATACTCCATGATAATCATTGCCATTTTCCTGAACACATGAAAATAGCCTTCCTTGGCCCCTTTCCTCTTTCCCTAGAATTTCTAGTTTCCAAAACAGCCCTAATAGGTTACTGAATCAGCAGAATCGGTGTTGTGGTGCAGGTATCACGATTGATTGAAATGCAGAGTCGTGTTTACCTTGATGGTGCTCGCTACCTTCATCCCTATTTCCAGTCCTCACATGGAAACCTTCAGCAGATAAATAGTGCAAACTAAGAATTAGTTGTGAATTAGTTTTTGGATCCCCTGGAACTCCACCGCACTGTTCCCCATGGGCAGTCCAACCGGGGCCTGTAAATTACATCATCCTCTGGATTGATTGCATCTGGTCCGCACATTGAATATTCCGCCATAGAGTTGCTCCACAGGATCCAATCTTTGTGTAGTGTGTATGCCTTCCTAAACTTTCTTGCTTCTGATCGTCAATAATGCTTTTGTGCAAATTATTATTGTGATATGAGAATCTTGTTTGGCTTTTGCTTTTGCTTTGGATCACCCTATTCATTCTTACATTTGCTTATGGTGTTTTTACCATACCAGTGAGTAATCATGATGTATAGCATGGTGTTTTTGTTACAATATATTGGAAGCCTTAGCCTTCCGAACTTCTACTGAACTCCACCACTGTTCGTTCTATTCACCCTGTGTGGACTTGATTTTAATTTATTTTTTCAATTTATTATTATTTCGCGGACTAGTTTGTGTGAAGCATATAATGGCGTGCTATAGCTGAAAAATTGCTCTAATGACTAATGGTAAATACGAAGTAATATTATTAACAACTCATTGATATGTGTGATCATCAAATACTCCTACTTAGGGATGGATCGGGCCGGGCCGGGCCGGGACTAGGCAATAAATTGAAAAAATAGTGCAATTGGACTCGGGCTGACCGGGCCCAAAAAATGAGCCTGAAGCCCGCTCTTATAGCCACATGGCCGGGACCAGGCCTATACATTAGCGGGCCGGGCTGGTACTATATAATAGTACCGCGTCCGGGCCTACTCGTCCCAGTCTATCCCTACTCCTAGCGAGACGAGTGTTAAATTTTTGGGGAAAAGGCAACAATAAAGAATTTTGTGATACATAAGTTCAGCTAGAGTTTTATTAATTACATGATCCTTTTAAATTATGAAAATAGTGCAACATATGGGTTTCTTGTTTTAAGAATTGATGTACTTTGTTTAATATTATTGGTCAAACAAAAACATGTTAAAATGTTGATTTATTTTTGAAAATGTGTTTTCCTTAAAATCAGAATTTAAGACAATTGCATGATATATTGATAGTGAGATAGTAGTTCTACGTACAAAAGAAAATGCGACTAGCAATGATGAACCCTCTCTGAGAAGAAGTAGAACACCATAAATAGAAAAAACTAGGTTTGATGTATCAAACCTCTCGTGAATACACATTTTGCGCTTAAAAATGCATCCAATCTCTATTGCACTTAAAAGCGCGTCAAACTTCTATTTTATAACTACCCTATGCTTTAGTCAATAAGAGTTTTAGAAATTCAATTTATATTTCCCAAAAAGATTAATAAGCTCTCATACTTAATATAAGTACTTATATTTACAATACTAGTAGTCTAGTACTCTACGATGCACGGGAGAATAAAGTTTTTAAATTAAGGAGAAAATTATTAATATAAACTTTTGTCATATAAACATGAATATTTTATCATATAATTTATTGATGGAATTTTTTAGTTTACAAAAAATACACTCCGTGTGGATAAATGATATCACTACTATTTAGATTTTAGATTGTTAAACATTTGATTGTGGCGTATAACTATTCATTTCTATTTTAGGAAAGAATTAACAATTTTAAATGATAATTTATCATCAAATATTAAAAATAATACATCTGTAACTTCATAGTTATCATCAATAACATCATTATATTATATTCTAGCTAGGGAAAATCACACTTTTTTAAGGAGGAAAATCACACTTTTAGTCTTTCAAATAGTACCAATGTTGAAATGTAATCCCTTGTTTTTCAAGTGTAAATGCAACCACTCAATTGAAATGTAATCCCTTGTTTCACATTGTAATTTTCACTCCTCAAAGGGCTACATTTACATCAATTTGGAAAATTGAGGGGTGACATTTAGAAGTTTGAATACACGGGAATTACATTTCAATATTGGTACTATTTGAGGGACTGAAAGTGCGATTTTCTATATATCTTAATCAAAAGTGTTTCTCAAAATATATCTGAATTACCGTATGTAATTTTTGTCTATATAGACGTTGTAATTACATCAAAGAAATCAAAGTTTATATTCAATATTTTCTAAGCATGCATATTAGAAAATTGAAACGTGAACACTATTAGGTAATGTACAAAAACAATATAGCGTACTTTCTTTTGAAAGAAACAATATCACCATATTAATAATTTTGTAAAAATGATTCGACATTAGATTGTAATTAACTTAAGTGTTTTTATATAACATTAGATTGTAATTGGCGACTTTAGCGTAAGTGTTTTTAAAAATTAATCAATAATATTTGGACTTCTGGAGTATGTTTGATATGCAAAATTTCATCAGTTCCGATGGTTTTAGAAAAAACATTTTATACTAACAGTACTAAAATGTGATATACAAAAGGGAGAATTGGACACAAGTACATTTTTAATTTTATTTATTTTTTTAATTTTGAATTTATAATTTATCTTTGGTGTTTTTTGAAATTTATTTTATCAATTTAAAGTCAATAAGGGTATATTTGTTCCTTTATAAAAATATTAGGGTTATATTTGCATTTTTAAAAATGTTCAGGAGTATATATGCACTTCCACATATTCTTCGGGGTATATTTGTTCCGAAAAATAGAACAAGGGTATATTTGCTCTTAAGCCATACTACAGGGTATATTTGTACCTTTTGTAACTCACTTTAATTTTATGCTGCATTTTTTTGTATACAACCATCGAAAAATCACGGTTTTGATATTTGAACATTTACAATTTGTATAAACCAAGTGTATGGTAAAACTATCTTTAGCAAATATGTTAAGGATGTTATTATCTTGATTAATTTTATTCCTAGATTAGACATAAATACACTAGAGACTAGACCAAATCAAATCAGGCTTAAACAGATCACACTAGATTAGACCAGACATTGATAGTTGTAAACCACATAGAGACCACATTTACCAAATCAGACTAGATCAATTCAAAACCAGACCAAAGCAGAAAATTTCAGTACAATTAAAAACATCCTAAGTGCTTTATAATTTGTATAAACCAAGTAGATGGACACATAGTATGATTTGGTATGAACTAAATCTAGTCTGATAGATGTTCGTTCTATGTGTATTTCCCAACTATTAATGTCTGGACTGATTTCATCTTGTCTAATCAGGTCGAGTCTTTTTAAATCTGATCTAATTTGATCCATTTATGTTTGAACATGTCAGATCTGGCCTTGTCTGAGACAGAAACCAGTCTAACTAAAAACAATCTAAGTGATTTACATTTTGAATAGGCAATTAACATGTTAAAACTAGCTTAAGGAAATTGATTAAGGTGTGGATGTACTATTGTACTCTTTAAATTTAAGCTTTAGTTTATAAATATTACTAAATAAAGGCTTAAAGACAAAAAAATGACCACATAAACAAAATACAAAAAATATGACTAGTATGTAGTGACTTGCAATTTTAGTGACTAGACAAATAGTGACCACCCCATGCAGTGACTTCCACCGCCATCCCGATTACTGATTGCCGCCGCTTCCCCGTCTAGTAATTGCCCCGAAGGAAAAGAAAAACAATTGAAAAAAATGAACCGGGCCGGTTCAAGAAAAATAGGGCCCGAGCCCGGCCCGCCCAACCCGGGCTAAAGCCCGGAACCGGCCATCCGGTGCCGGTCAAGTCCGGGCCCGCACAGTAGCGGGCCGGTGCGGTTCACGGGCCGGTTCGGTCCGGTTCAGTCCACCCCTATGCCTACCAAAGAGTTTCAACTTTCAAGTCTTCATGAGTTTGACCAATTCACAACTTTATTAGCATTCCCATATTATTCTTCATTTACTTGGACATTATTATACACATGAAATTGTAATATTTCTAGTGAAACAAGAAAAAAAAATTAGTCAGCACAATTCCTTATCTTAAAAAGGAAAGATAATCAAATTTTGGTAAAAAAAAAGGGAAAAGTGGGAATTTTTTTAGACAAAGGAAACATCATTCTTATCATCCCACGTTTACAAGAAGTTCCTAGCTAATCCATCTTTCAAAACGGCAATTGCATTACTCCTTCAGAATAGTTCTTGTACATCATAACATAGTACTACCTCTCTCTCTTAAAACTTTGTCAAAGTTAACCGGCACGGAGAATAATAAAGTAAAAACTGTGGTTGAGGTTTGTGCAGAGGAGAGAAATAATAGAAACCACAAAATAATTGATTAAAAGGAAAAGTGACAAAGTTTTTTGGGACGTCCAAAAAAAGAAAGATGCAAAGTTTTAAGGGACGGAGGTAGTGATGGACCCGGGCCGGTCCGATTCCGGACCCGGGCCGGTCCGATTCCGGACCCGGGCCGGTCCGATTCCGGACCCGGGCCGGTCCGATTCCGGTCCCGGGCCGGGCGGGCTTTTTTTTGCAAATCCTTAGGCCCGGAATCAGCCCAGATTGATACCGGGTCCGGGCCGGGCCCAGTTCAATGTCTGTTTTTTTTTTGCTTTCTTGTTATCCCTCGACCCCCCACCCCACCCCCCCACCCCCCAAACCTCCCCAAAACACCCAGCCCTACCCTAGGAAAAGAAAAAAAAATTGAAAAAACAAAAAAAAATGACCCAGGCCCGGCCCGAACCGCCCAGGCCGGTTCACCCAAAACTGGGCCCGAGCCCGGCCCGACCGACCCGCCCAAACGGGCTAAAAGCCCGGAACCGGCCAACCGGTCCCGGTCCGGTCCCGCACAGTAGCGGGTCGGGCCGGTTCCGGGCCGGTTCCGGGCCGGGTCGGTTCCAGGCCGGTTTAGTCCATCCCTAGACGGAGGCAGTATTCAACTTTAATGTTAAAACAGGGAATAAAGTCTGTCATAAAAAATATATCAAAATGCCATAGTTGGTTTATACATGTATGAGTATGTATTCTTTAAAAACGTTATGTAACAATGCAACATACTATCAATCTCATATTTAGGACTCACCTCCCTCATATAAATATAACATTTCAAAATGTATATAAATACATAAATAAATAAGAGACTTACAACATTGCCATAACACCACCACAGTAACTCTTACACCAGACTTTATTCTACATAAACCAAAACTAGCAGTTGACGCCACATTGTGTTCCGTTAGCTTGTTTCACACTGTCCGATGTAAATGGGTCAATCCGGACCCACAACAAGGAGAAGATGGACGCAAGAAGGATGGACCACACAATAACTATGGTGGGTGTGCGGTTCTGGCGTCCCGTCAAACCCTTGAGGAAAGGGTACAAATGGACGATGACCCAAATGGCGAAGAACAACCTCCCGAAGAGTGGGCCCCACGACTGGTACCCGCTGTTAATGGCGAAGGAGACACCTGCGACGATGCCGACAAGGTTGACAATGAGAACAGTGGTGGGTGGGATGAGGAGGGAAGTCCATTTGAAGACATAGAGCTCAGAAAACTCTCCATCCTCATCGGATGCCTTGGAAGTGACCGTGAAATTTGTGTCTATGCCTGCTAGCACTTTCAGGAGGCCTTGGAAGACTGCAAAGAGATGGGCCGATGTGCCACCGATGACCCAAAATTGTTCGTTCCTCCACCAATCCTCTATGCTCACCCCGCTCCACCTCAGCTCTAGGATTCCCGTTGTGGCAATGGATATGAAGAGGAGAATGAACCATATACTAGCATAATTGCTTATCTGTACAAATATGAGCATGACAAATTGCTGAGCACAGATACAGAGGTCATGTTTAATATTACCTCCGTCCCCAAAATAAAAATTAGTTTTACTTGACCAATGTAGAAATCTTTAAATTTTACAAGGTAAAACTATCGCACTTCATTTTTAACAAAATGAATCATATGTGTCCCCCCACCCCTTGTGTTTTGGGACACAACAGGGTGTTCGAAATTTGACTTTTTTTGGACAGAGGGCATCCGAAGAGGGAGTATAGAAAGTAGAAACTAAAATAAATCTACACTAGGCTACAGCGAATTGGTAAACAAATCAAATAATAATGTTGAGACTTAATAGAAACATCAAGTGTCTACTTGGTAAGAGTAAAATTTGGTTGAAGTGCCTGAAATGGCTAAAGGCAGGTACTAGCTGAGTTATCCTTAGAAAATGTTTTTAAAATACTTTTTTATGAAATTAAAATAAAAGTATCTCAAATAAGGGTCTTAATGTCATTTCACATATTGTTTTTAATTCTGATTAAATTTTCTGAAATATCATTGAAAAATATTTTAAAAACACTTTTTCATGTAGTAATGATAAAGTATCTGAAAACGAGGGTCAAACTATCATTTCCCTTTATCTCAGCAATTTTAGCCGAAGTGGAAACTTATGTACTACTTTTTTCTATAATCAACCGATTTACGCAGCCTAGACACATAAGTTAGTGTTTAATAGAAAATCAGACTGATTAGCAGAAAACATCTCCCAAGAAGCACGACCAACATGTACACTCTTGCATTCTTAGCATATTATAAACCATTCGTTGGGTTCGGTGGCGGACCCAGAAACTCATAATCACGGGGTCCCTACTTTAATGTAACTCTAATTAATAAAAAATCAATAAAAAGAAGAAGTAAAATATTAAAATAGCATAACGTTTCATAGTTAACGTATACAACAATTTTAAAGATATTCCAATATTTTAAAGAAATGTCCACTATCAACTAGAGCCCGTTTGGCTCAAACGACTGAATCTGCTATATTAGGAAAGAATGATATTTAAATTATATGTTACAAGATATGAAAAAAGTCATATGAAAAAGTGGTTAAGATGATGCTCTACGATAACTTCAATCATCTGGCCAAAAAAATGCTTTTAACTTGCTTATTTTAATTATTACAAATTCAGTGCGTGAATTCAAAAATTACGTGTTTCATAATGAAATCAGTTTATAAAACAGATAAACTGAAATTCGGAGATACATACTGGCTTTACAGTAGTATTTCTTATGAAAAAAATTGGGCATAAGTTGAGAAAATTAGATGCTTTGCAGTAGTATTTCTTTGGGAAAAAAATGGGCATAGGTTGAGAAAATTAGATTAAAAGTTGGACAATAGAGGTGCATGATAACAATAGGTGGTTGTTCCATAATTTTATTTTCAAAAAAAAGTAGACACATCAGGGAGTCGATCCTTAGACCTCCGCAAGTATAAACACTCAAGTTCAAGCCTTCAACCGCTGCTCTAGCTCGCTATTTGTGTTCTAAACTAGTTTCGATTTTATATATACAATGATTGCTTAATTTTATATAAAATATATACAAATATATATAGGTATTTTTTTGGAGGTCCATGGGGTCCCGGGACCCCGTAGGACCCTTAGTGGGTCCGCCACTGGTTGGGTTATGTGTGTTGTATTGTGGTTTCCAAAAATCATATACAGTGTTCCTACTTTCCTTTTCCGTTTTTATATGTCCTTGAATAAGCTCTGCTTTCCCCTTTTGGTAAAGGGGCAAATTGTCCATTCACTTTACTACATCATTTAATATCCCTACCCAACAACCATTACCACTTGTCTAAGGGAAAAGTGGACGTCAAATAGAAACTTGTCAAAGAAGTTTTACCTCGGGAACAATGAACTTCCCTGTAAGAAGACAAATAGCAGGAAGAATGCAATAAGCAAGCAACGGAATGGAAGTGATTGGATAGACAATGGTGTTGATATATGCTATTCTCTCCAAGAGCCTCAGCTTCCCATTGTACCCATACCATATAGGGCAATGCCTGCTGAGGAAAATCTCAATGGATCCCAGGGCCCACCTAAGCACTTGGTTTAAACGGTCAGACAGATTTATGGGAGCGGACCCCTTAAAGGCAGGACGAGGCGGCACACAGTACACTGAAATCCATCCTCTCGCATGCATCTTGAACCCCGTCAAGATATCTTCTGTGACCGAACCGTAAATCCATCCAATCTGTAATTCAAAGAAGAAAAATACCCGGATTGGTTTACATCAAAAAAATTAATTTTTGGTAGTAAGATTATTGGTCATTTTTACGTTTGGTCATCGCTTTTCATTTCTTCCCAACTTTGGTGCACAACTATCGATTTCTGTAGAAATCTCAGTTGGTTTTAGCAGGAATGTGACCGAAAAGGCCCAAATCAAGCATCAAATCCATGAGTTGCACCAAAAGTGAAAAAAATGAAAGCTGGTGAGGGAAAGTTATAGTGACCTAATAGTTGCGGGACCAAAGATGAAAATTCTTTCTTCCAAATCACTAACAAAGTCAGTGGGAACAGGAAAGAGTCATCTACCTCTTTTCCCCATTCAGTCTTGTCTTCATAACCACAACTAATAACATGGATTGCTTCTTTCAAGAGAGTGGCGGGATTAGTTGATGGTGGAATCCCTCCTTGTTCCATAAAGGTGGCAGCTATGAAAACAGGAGATTGCCCAAACCGCTTCTCTAAGCTCTTCTGAGACATGAGAAGAGACTTCTCATCATCATATCCTGCACATCAAAACCCATGCGGTCAAATAAAACTGTTGATGACATTAGGAAATGAAAGTGAAAGTATAAAGGGTGATTATTTTTTTCCACTCTTAGTTAATGCAACTTTAAACATTTTAACTCCAGGTGTAGCTGTTAGCAATGATTACCCTTGGTTAGGGACTTAGAGTAAAATGCATTTTTTGTTCAATAACTACAGGGGGTGGTAAAACTAGTCCCATTTGATGTACTGTGCTGCCTAACTGCGCAGTTATCTTCAAAAATTCATTTGAGTGCCTTCCCGATTGAATTTTATCTGAAAATTGGTATGAGTAAACTAGACTTAATGAAGAACATGATCAGAAAATTTCATCAAAAAAATTCACCGGAAACCGCTCCAAATGGCGACGGAAGGACAGAGCCTCCTATAAAAGGGCTTTTTTGCACTTTTTATGAAAGTTCGAGGGCTTATTTGATAGTTCTCCCTTTTTAAAATTATGCTACAAAACACATATATACACACATTATATAGGTGAGAGTAATAATTCATGAATTCATTGATCTTTTAATATATTAATATCTACATTTGGAACTAGATGAAAATTTAATTGTCAATGTGTTTTTATATCTAGCCTTTAGAAATTCATTTATTGATAAATAAATAGTTAACCATTCAAGTCTAAATCGATTTCTCTTATTTTTTTGAAACTTGTTGTAGTATTGTGACTTTGATTTATTAAATTTGTTTTTTATAATTATTTGGAGATAAACTTTATGTAAAATTCAAGCTATAATAACTTCACGCAACTAGAAATATGTACTAGCTTTAGGTTATTGCGGGGCAGGTCATGGGCCAAAATCTAATGACCCGTGCGGGTCACAGGGCAGGGCGGGTTCACCTAGTTATGTCACGGGGAGGGTCCGGGTCATGCACTACCCGGTCCGACCCGGCCTAGAAATTAGGGATCCAGTAAATTGATGGACGGTGAGATGTCAATTTTCTTAGATTTAAAAAATTCTAAAATAGCATATTATAATACAAATTTTCTAAATAAAATATATTGATTAAAAAGACATTTTAGGCGGGTTTGGAAGAGGAACTTTAGGCCAGATGTGCATATCAAATAATCCTACCTTCAACACCCTCTTCAATGTCCTCCATATTAAATATTGGAATAGTAGATTCAGTCCTTTTGGCTGCTCTTTTCTTATCAATGTACTTCTTGTCACCACTCCTTCCCTTCTTCCGTGATCCACAACAGCTCTTAACAATAATGTTTGGCTCCAAATCAGCCTCGGTCAAGACTGGGTCATACCCATACAAAGCTTGCCTGTTGAAACAACATCCTGTTCCCACATAGACAGGACCCTGAATCCCGTCCAATCCTTTCAAGTTAATCTGAGACAATAGAAACATTAGTGAGAGAATAAGCATAAAACAAGATATCTGTTCTTCATATAAAGTCTTCAGAGTCACATAATAATAATAACATTAAACATACATCAAAGAACACAATGTTGCGGTTGGCATATCTATCATGCAAATCAATGCCGTCAAATCTCTGGGGGAATTGAACGTAGCATGTCCTCTTTCCATAAGCAGGGTCCATCATGAAACACATGGCTTCTTTCAGTGCCTTACTGTTGTTAAAGTAGTGATCACAATCCACATTCAAAAGATAGGCTCCGTTGGTAAGGACAGCAGACACTCGAATCTGCAGAAAGAATAAATGGTTAATTATACGGCTTCCACAGTTCAAATTAAAGTTGGCCAATATAGTAGAAGTTGCTGAATACGTGTCTCATTTCACTGAATTGGTGGATTACCAAAAAAATGTATTCAAACAAAATTTTAGTAATAGATTAAAAAAAATCTAATCATGAGCATCAAAGTGCCATTCTTTCTTTAATTTCAGTTATTCAGCCAAACATGGTATCTTCACTCCCTACGTTTAAAAATCATGTTTGGTCAAGATAAAAAAATTCTTGTCTTGGAATCCTACTATATTCATAAAATTATTGTTTGATTTACAATATTTTTCAGGTTGAACTTTATTGTAACTTCTTTTTCTGGAAATCACATTAAAAAATAGCTTCATTTTATTTGTCAGGAACAAATAAAATGAAACATGGCATTTTTGTTGACAGGTGGAAAGTAAAAAATTTCTGCATCAACTTATTCAGCCAAGAGTGAGCTAATGCAGTAAAACAATTAATTGTTTGGTAAAAAATTTAGATAATAAGACTGCTAAACAGAAAAATATGCTACCAAACAGGCAAGTTTATATTATTGGCATGTCAAGGACACTAGATAGCAATACATAAAAAATGTAGTTTTCTTTTTATATTGTAAAGTGTAGTTTATCTGAGTTATTATTTTGCCTACCAAAGCATTCATAGCTCCAGCCTTCTTGTGGTGTTGAAATCCTGGCCTCTTTTCACGGGAAACATAAACCAAACGAGGAAGTTCATTTCCATCAGTATCAAGCCCCCCACTGTGACCCAAGAAGACCTGTTCACTCACCCGCATTTACGTCAAGATCATTATAATTTTTAAAAATGGATTTTTTATTCATCATTTCAGATGAATAAGGATTTAAAATACTAGCAAATAAACTGATAAATACCTGGATCATTCCGGGATGATCCCTGGGGTTGTTTCCAGGCCAAGAGGTTCCATCTTGCATCGTCCAGCCTTCCTCAGGCATCTTTTGTGCTTTCGCAACAAGTGCATTCACGCGTACCTTGAATTCTTCATATTCCCTCTGTAAATCAAAGTCCATTTGGATATCAGGATGAGCCTTGGACTTCGGCGACACAAGAGGAGAGCTACTCCACCAATTCCACTAAGCCCACCCCTCATCAACACAACACTGATCTTTTGTATGTATCGTGGAACAAGAGAAGTAGAGAAGATATGGGTAGAATTTGGGAGGAGATTCATTTATCCCCAATCACCTCCATAAGAGAGCAGAAACTTTTAAAATAAAAGATTTTGTTTTCCAGTGGACTGGTACATTGGGGGGTGCAAAGGGATTTTTTCCAATGACTTTTTCCCAGGGGAAATGCAAAGGAAAATGAAAACGTGATAATATTTTTTTTGAAGTTTTCATGAGTACCAATTTATGTCTACGTACAATAGAAATAGATAAACGAGATGAGTATTAAAAAGGTGAAAATGACAATTTTGAATTTCTTTCCTATGCCCTGTCGGTCACTTACCTTCATTGCCCTACGCTCTTTCACAAACGAAGGCTGAATCTTGTCCTTCAAATAATCAATCTTCTGAGCAAAATAAAACTCAGGAGCCCGAGGTTCGATGTTGAATTTCTTACAAAAAGGGACCCACTTCCTGGCAAACTCTGCGGTCTCTGACAGGGACTCAAAAGTCAACATAGCTGAACCATCATCAGACACATAACACGAAACCTTGTCAACGGGGTAATCCACAGCAAGGATAGATAACACTGTGTTTGCCGTGACAAGTGGGGGCTCTTTCAAGGGATCCACCGTACTCACAAACACGTCTATAGGAGCCAATTGAGAAGGCTCACCTTCCCTATCATACCTTAAAGTAAGCCTGTCTAGGTACGTCTCTCGGTTTATGGGTGACCATTTTGGGAACTGATCCAAGAGCCAAGACAAGGCAAACCAGACCTCACATATGACTGATACTAACCATAATGGATAGGCATTTTTCACAGGGTGAGTCAACCGGTATTGCATGAAAAATCCCAAGATGATCAGCCGAAGTATGATTACAATGCGGTATGGGGTAAGTTGGGAAGAAGAAATTGGGATCACACGACTTAGGGGTTGGCGAGCTTCATCGACCCTGCCACAATGTTGATATTAAAATCCTTGTTAGCACATAATAATATTCCTAAAATAATTTGGCTCCATTGGGTAGCTAGCTCCGGCTTATTCTGCTTGTCAACAGAATAATTAAAAAGAATAAGAGCCCATTTGGTAGGCTTCATTATTTACTTATCATATGTTAGTGATTCGCTAAAAACTAACATATTTCATAATTTTGGCTAAAACGCCTGATAATGAAATAAATCTTGCCATCATGAAGTAATACTTCTACTTTATTTTTACAAATCATCTTCTTTAATTAACTGTGTTCAATATATATTTTTAAAAATATTTGTTATAGATAATTTAAAGCATATTCAGCCATTTTAGCCACAAATCTGCTAACTTCAGAATCAGTCATAGTCAAGTCATTTATTTAATGCCTTACCAATCAGGATCTAAATAGCTTTTGACTCACTTATTATGTTGAAACAAATGTTACGAATTTTCCTTTCAGGAGATATTCAGCCAAATACATAACCCTCATAAAATGGACATAAAAAGATAGATACTCACATCTGTAGCTCTTCTCCATTTGACCCTATAACTTCACTGTCCCCCCCTTTTCCGTCTGAATGTCTGTTGTTGTCTCTGTTGTTCACATGCACCATAGTTTTGTCCTGTTTAAGTTTCCAACCTTCCACTCTCTCCTTCCAGTCAACATTTCCAAGTCCATAAGAATTCAAGTCCTTTGAAGGATCAACAATTCGCACAGGAACTGCAGATATTATGCATCCCCGTTAAGCAAGAGACAACGGTCTCAAGGAAATATATACAATAGAGGGAAAATCTGACCTGGCCGTCTAGGGTCAAGGTATGGAATCGAGTGACCGTGTCTCTCACCGGGACCCAAAGGTCCTGACATGCTTCTTACTGATTGAGTGTCGGGTGTAACACTTGGCGGGATTTCACCAGAAACCTATATGCGTGGAATGTCAGTTAGAGAAAGCAGTACAAACAAACATGCTTTAACAAATCATCAAAATAGGGCCCTGTTTTGTAGCCAATTTGGGGCTTTTCTGCTTATCAGCAGAATAAGCAGTTTTTCACTTATTTAGCTTAAACTGATGCTACCAAATGCAAATGCATTTCAGAATATTCAAAAAATCCATTCATTTCAACAATATAACCCTTACCAGACGTGCCCTAGTTTATCAGCATAGATAAGAGCATAACTAGGCAATGAAAGAATTCTCTTCGAAATGTTTTAATTAACAACAGGAGTACAAGACTTTCATATGTGATTCACCATGGAATCACCATGCCAAAATGATAGAAAGAGAAGTGCAGAATATGTTAATGGTTAATTACGCATGCCACCCACAAAGGATTGGTAAATTCACCAAATGACCCTCAAGGTTACTGAAAAATATAAATAAGTTGATTCAATAAAATGCATCTAAAGGAGGTAAACAGAAAATTCAATCTAACGACGCACAAGTCTTGTCAATATCATAATATTCTAAAATCCTTTGAAGTTAAAAGGGTTGCAGAAAATATAAATAGTCAATGGATTTCTAGTCCTTGTAATTTCTAGAAGCTTCAAGGTTCACTTAGTAATTTGAACAAACCTAGAAGGAAGTGAATCTAATTAACCTAGAATAATAAAGAAGAAAATGATACGGAGTATTTTAATGTTGAAATTTTTTTCATCTTGACATACAGACTGCCCATTCGTGAGAAGAGGGATTGGCTGTCTAGAAGAAGAAGAAAGATCCACATCTTCTTGCCATTGGCGTCTCGCTTTGCTGTTTCCATAACTAAACTCATTGTCTAGGTCATCAACATCATCCTCGTCATCATCCCCATCCACCCGTGCACTCCCTAAGAGCAAGCAACAAAAAAAAAGGTTTTATTCCCAGAAAATGAAAAAACAAATACATGAAAAATAAAAATGCTCTCAAGTGACCGTTTGGTAGCCAGATTTTTGCTTACTGATCAGGGTTTTTAAATTAACCAGATTTAATACTAGTTTAATGTCTGCGCGCTGATCTTGTTAATAGTGGAAAACATAATGGTTGAAGGTAATTTTCGTTGAAATTGCTGAAGTTGTTGGAGATGATCATCCTAGCCTTTATGAATTAAATTTTAAAATTTATATTTTGAAGTGTTTTTATAATTTAGAAATTATAAAAACTTATCAACATCAGCCATAAGTCCATAACTTCACCAATTCCATCCAAATTGGCACTACCAAACAGAGTCTTTTATTACTTATTTTTCAGTGGGGAACCTTTTTGTCTCTTGTATCTGGTTTTGCATTGGGGACACGCTTGATTCCCATCTTTGCGTTCATACTCATAACAAGGCCGGCAAACAGGGAATGCGCACTCATTACAAGCAACAAATGTGTCACCATTGGCAGTGGTCCCCACGGAATCACCGCAAATCTGACATATCTGACTGTTGAAATCCTTCAAAGGCTTTGGCTGCACTTGTGACAGAAAGTTTGATCAGTTAAACTACATTGGTACATGAAGTTACTATTGTACACCCTTCACAAATGAGTCCATGGGGTTTTTCACAACTAAGCTTCAGTTCTCAAACTGCTATCAACACCACCATGTGGATTAGAGATCGCAACTTTAATTCAAATGAACTGAAAATAAATAGATATATCTAGAATAGCCCAAAAATCTCAAAATGTTCATTTCAGACATCCATTTGTATAACAAGAGCCACATAAAATCAAGTAGCCAGCAAATGAGCTAAACATCACTCTCCTAAAAATATAAGGTGGCATTAAGAGCATAATCAAAATAAATACAATAAAATTTAAAAAAGTTTAAATAATCCTACCATCCATGCCATCATTTCGTTTAAAATAAGCCAACATAAAGGCATAAAGCCACCCACTGACGCTTCATCAACCAAGAGCAGAATGAACGGGCAATGCAAATTAGCCAAATAAGGGTCTGCTTGGTAAAGGTTATTTGGTTGGAATGGTTGAAACTGAAGGTTTACTAAAATCAAGTGTTTGAAACATCCATTCCAGCAAATAAGTAAGTCGCAACCCACATTCTGTTTGATGAAAAGAATAAGCTACCGAGTAGAGCTACCAAACTGAGCCTAGATTTCAAGAAGACCAGTAACCTTAGCACTATTAAAGAAGAATTCAGCTCATGCTCAATACTACACCACAACCACCTAGATCCAAAGTCTGATCCAATATAGAACTTGAACTGAAAACAAGTTATACCCGAAAGGCCCAAGCTTTGACACTCAAAACTGAAAATCAACCATTTATACCCACCATAATCAACTAAAACTTCTATTATGAGGCTCAAGAATAAACAAAGATTTGCAGGTTGATAAACACCATACCGCACTGTCAGAATCATGGCGGATCCGAACCAGCTCATTCCGCTTGTGCGATCCGGCAACCAACCCAGCTCCGGCCTCCATTTCTCTTCTCTAAGAAACGGAGGATTTCACAGTAGGATTGCAACAACTCTTCGGAGGATTAAAACAACAATGCGGATTTAACTAATGGTGGCTTAGCTGACAAATACATAAATAAATGAACAAAACGAGATCTGAGGATATCAGAAGAAGAAATGAAAAGAAAAAAGGAGAATGGGTGTGGGAAGCGGCTTGGCTGGTGAGTATGATGAATCTTTGGACTGCTGAGAAGTGGCCTTATTGCTTCCCCATCAGACTTCTCCTCCTCTGGAGTCTGGACAAAGACAATCACACTGTCACTATATCATTTTTTTTCTTGATTTATTGTTTTGTCTTTTTACATTTTCTTTTAATTCCGGTAACCGGTTGAACCAGTCTCCCCCCCGCGCACCGACAGAAGCTCGCAAATCGGTTTCGGCTTATTCCTGACTGTTTCGAGCTGGCTTGCCGGCGTATGTATTAAATTCCATGTCTTTCGTAATTCGTAATATGCCTTTTTTCCTAATGTTTGGGTTTTATTTTCTTGCTTGTAAGAAAAATAAAACAAAACATGTCACCCGTTGTCCTAATTTTGACAGAAATTATTTTTCATATATAAATTGCTCTAAATGGGAACAAAAACGTTTTAAAATTCCAAAATAGGAGTATATGTTTTTTATTCTCTGAATAAGAATAATCTATCAAGTTCGGGAAAAAATGGTATGTTTTAAAGCCTAGTAATGTCAAACTTTGCAGAAATTTACTCTTATTCAAGAAATTAAAAACATGATACTCCTGTTTTTGAATTTCAAAACCTTTTTACTCCTATTTAGGGAATTCTCTCTTTTTCATATTCCTGAGACGGGTTAGCCATTACCTTGTTTTCTTAAAAATAGTAGGTTCATTGTCTAAAATTGTTATTCTTTTTAATTTGTTCATTTGTAAAATTGATGCACATTAAATATTACTCTTTGATTGAACTCTTTTTATACTCCGTATTAATTTATTTACCATTTTTTCCTTAAATTACATTAAATGACATTTTGAAATTTCAAAATCGGACTTTCATATTTTTATTCCCTAAATAGGAGTAATTCTGCCAAGTTTGGAAAAAATGTCATGTTAAAAGCCTAGTAATGTCAAACTTGACATAAATGTAATCTTATTTAGGGAATAAAAAACATGATAGTCTTATTTTGGAATTTCAACACTTTTTTACTCCTATTTAGAAAATTCTCTCATTTTAATATAATCGCCAATTAAGAAGATTGTATGAGAGTTGTATTGCAAAAGTGAAAATTTGATAATAAGAGATGAAAAACAGCTCATTAATTGATGACCATAGTATGTCCTATGGGCACACAAAAGATCTATGGTATGTCTTTTTTCATTTATTTTTTATATTATATTTCTCCAAACATGTGCCTATATTGTTTTGAGAGACGAATTTGATAATAATGAAATTGACTGAATCGACTAAAACTGATAAAATTGGTAAAATTTTAACTAACACAACTAAAATTGACAGAATCTCTTGAATTGAGAAAAAAAATGTGAATATATATTTTATTAATAAAAAATGAAAACAAACTAGACTAATCATTTTCAGCAAGATTCAAACAAAAGCTCAAATTGGCTAATAAGAGGTCGAACGACTCGAACCCCTCATGTTATGATAATTCATGCACAAAAATGCAAAATCCCTTCTATATACAAATTTAATTTCAAAAAAATGAAAAGTGATTACTTTCTTTGTTTAATTTAGATATTTTGACAAAGTTACTAGGATATTCAACCATATTATTAAAAAAGTGATTTCACATGGAAGTTTGACGCATTAAAAATTATAACACATGGAAGTTTGACGCATTATTTAAATCACATAGAACTAATGCACCGAATTTATATTTCACAAGTGAATTTGGTACATTAAACACTAATAAGTGACTTAACTGCGTAAGGGGACATGAGGGCATCCAACACCAGAATTTGAAAGGCAATTTATCACCCAAAAAAACTCAAACTATCACTTCTTAGTTCTTATAGTTATAGACTGCAAAAAAGAATCAGACCAGACATTTTCACCCTTACAACCAAACCAAAGGAAGAGTCTAGTTACTATACCAACATACATACTAGTTTACATCTTGACAAACCAAAAGATATTACACCAGTGATGTCAAACTATGCATTAAATTTTTTTTATATAAAAAGAATCATTACTAGAACCACTACTACACTTGCATAGATATTACTACTACCATACCGCTACCAAGCAGGCTAAATATTCTACTAAGACTAAATCTTCCATGGCTTCTCATTGACATAGAGCTATTTATGTCCTTCCTGACCGCCGCTACCTGTTGTGTTCTTCAGAATCTGCAATTTCATACGATATAATGAATTAGTTGTAAAAGTTATCCGAAGTAAGCATCAAAGAAGAATCTTTTTAACAGACCCGCACATGGTATCTCTGTTTATAATCGCCTATAGGTCCGGTTGAGTTGGTTTTCAAGGTCTAAACCTCAAAAATCAGTTTATAGCAATAGCCAATAAGCTAAGGCTGAAGTTTATCAATGTATCTGTTCCCAAGCTCATGAACTATATCAATGCTTTCTTTCTTTTCATCAAAAAATTCAGTTAATGAAATGAACTAGAGCAAAATCTAAGTGTACATGTTCAGATATTCTTCAAGTTGTGATAGTAAGCTTTAGAAACAATAACATACTATGGTGTGTGGAATATTAATTAAATAGAATTGCATGTAAAAAGTTTGAATTGCCTTATGGCTGATATTTTTTCTAGAATTTTCAAGAATAGAAGAATACATAATAGATCTGATTTTTCACTTATGTCGTCCTTTTAAGACATCAATCAAGAAAGAAGTCTTGGTCATAAAAAAGAAAGTATTGCGCATTACAAGAAATAAATTTCAAGTGTTCCATGCTTGAAATTTAAATTTCAACATGATACAATTTTTCTCTACATTAAAGTTTATATGTTGGTACTTGGTAGCTAAACCAATGGATTATAAAAGTAGAGTACTTAAAATTATTGGACATGATTTAAAGTCATACAACTTTTATATGAATATAAAAAATTAAAATATTTAATTTTTTTGGAATGTTCAAATATAACACTTCTGTAGGATACTTCTATTTTTTTGGAAAATCATTTACCAAGATTTTTTCAAAATGATGTATAACTTGTGAGAAGTATTGATACTTCAAATGTTATTATGAATTGCCAATTTGGTTGACCTCACCATTAATCAGTTGGGAAAAGTTTGGTGAGAAAGATTTGAAGAATATTTGGTTACTTCATAGTGACACCATACCACATTGACAGCATGGGACAACTCCTACCCTCCATGCAAAAAAGTGTACAATGACTTTCCTGAGCTACTTACAATTTACATCCCCATCCATTACCAGGTGAAGGGGCGAAGTGGGGCCCGTGATATGGTGTGCAGTACATGAGTTTTTCAAATCCTATTACAAATTTACAATGCACAATCTAAGGATTCAAAAGAATTTTACTCTAGTACTCCTTACGTCCCAGTTGAATCTGCAACATGTGCTTTTTTTATACAAAGAATTTCAAATTTGACCAATAATATATTTCTATTCGAAAAGATTCATCATGTAAAGATAATATGAAAATGTTGTTTGTTAAGGGTACTCTTGTAAAAGCACACAATTTATAATTTTTGTCACAAGTTATCTATTAAAAACATAGGTCAAAGTTCAACACCTTTGAGCAGAAAAGTCTAATATGGCTTATCAAAGTGGTATGCAGGAGATTGTTTTTATATACGAAGTATTTCTCAAGGTCAATCTAATTATTCAACTATTAAACTTCTCCATTGAATCAATTGTGGATAAATTACAGTCCCAGACGAGAAAGATTTCACAGGTTATAGACCAAAACATCACACAAAAACAAAATGATGTGTTTGTTTCAAATCAAATCTTGATAAATAACTCAACTACTTTTGCGCGAATAAGCTAGCATTTGGTCTCAATTAAACGAGATAAATAAATTAATAATAATTATAACATTAATAATGATAATTAAGTAATGATAATATTAATAAATAATACGGAGTATTAATAATTTAATAATAATGACAATAAAGGAGGGATCATGAGGTTGACAGGAATTAAGGAGCCAAAAAATCAAATGGCAGGTAGCAGGTCACACAAGTAGGTGCAACTAATACACTTACATGTCTTAGCATCTGGTTTTCATTTTGCAATGTGGAGACCCGCTCTTCCAGCTCAGCATTCTTTGTTTCCAAGTCTTTCACTCTTACCTCCAAATCTATCAAATATGCTTTCTTCCTCTCCCTCGCTTGTTGTGCTGATACTCTGTTCCTTAACAACCTTTTAAACACCAATGACAGAAAAGAAAATTACAAACAAAATTGGGTACTAAACTACTAACTTTCAAGACTAAAACGCTGATGCTAAAATTTGTGTGCATTTGACGTTCAGGGGGGAACCGGTCAGTTTCCGTTGGTCCGGATTATCAAAAGCCGGGATTTCAAAAATCATTAGGTGTGATCCATATCGAAAGAAAATGGTGAAAAATATATTTCTTGATAATACATAAATACATGTCCATCAATGTCAGGAATTGCCTAATTTATACAAAAACTGACATATTATTAAGAAAAATTACCCTAAATAGGAGTAAAACATAAGTGTTATACCTAAATAGGTCTACTTCCAAAAATAGGAGTTTCTTTTACTTGATTGTTCCTAAAGTCAAATGACTTTCTCCCTCCTCTTTTACCTAATTTTCTGCATCATCTCCTTGTCAGGACACCAGTGATGATGTGGCGAACAGTGACAGTAACGAACGGAAACAGCATCGATGACAGCGACATTCCATGTACTAGGTGTTTCCTTCTTCCTCTTCTTTCGTTGTCTCATTCACAGATATACAAGTCTGTAACCATGACGACTTCAATTTCAGTATCCGATCCTCAGGCCATCTCTTCCAGATCGAGGCATTCCTTGCTATAATTCCTTCACATAAGTTTCTTTAGTGAAATTCATTTACTGAAATTTGTTTGCTCCAGTTTAAGTATCTATAATTCTTTTACTGAAATTGCTCTCTGCGAGTAAGCAATGTGGTTAAAACCTTTGGGTGATTCTCCTCACGGCAGTTCAAGATTCAATATCTCATGGTGGATTTGAAATGGACCGACTAAGGTCAATTTTGCAATGTTTGGAAATTTTTTGTGACATTATGCTGCCAATTGTTTTTTCTGCCAAAAAGTGGTGCGTTATAGCACAAATATTGAAAATAGCATTCTAACTTTATCTAAGCATGACAGTATTATACTCCACTATTATTACAAAAATAATATTAGGATGACATTAATCATACAAGATGTCAGTATCATTTCAGAATGGCAGCACTTGGCAAGGGCCTTAAGAATCCAAGATGGCAGTCAGTATGGTTTCAAGATGAAACTATTTTTTTAGGATGCCGTATTTGGTTGGGGTCGTCTGAATTCAAGATGGAAATAGTTTCAAGATGACAATATTGTTTTAGGATGCGGTATTTGGCCAGGGACAGTCACAATCCAAGATGGCAGTATTGTTTTATGATGGCAATATTTGGCCTGAGTTTATCGCCTTGTCGAAATCCAGAATGGCAGTATGTGGAGGAGAGTACGATTTTAGGACAACTCTATAGTTTCAGGATGACAATATTTGGCAGTGGTCTAATGGTTTCTTATTTTATTTTCATTTTTGTGTTGTGAAAATTAAATTACACAGGAAGGGTATTCTTGTTTACCAATTCATTTTTTTAATCCGAGAAAATATATTAGTCCTATATATCAATATATGGAAAAAAATGTGTTTTACTCCTATCTATGGAAATCTACAAACAGTCCAAAGTATAAACATAAAGTATCATTGAATTGAATATTTTTTTTATAAATTAATATTATAGTGAATTCAGATGTTTGGGTCTCAGGTTGGATTTGAGATGCATCTTTATATACCCAAGACCCAACTTGTGTTTTATGGTGTACGTCTATAAATGCCATATAATAGCATTATAAGAAGCAATGAATGTGATTTTACCTTTTCAGCCTCTTGTTCTCTTTGTCAGCTGGACTTCTACCCCTCTTCCTTTGACCGCTGGTTGAGAGCTGAGCAGGACCCGCTAGGGAGGTGCCATGACGGCCCGAAGCAGATGGACCAACGGCTTCTACACCCATCTCAGGCACTCTCCTAATCTCTTCATCACTTTCCAAGCCTTTCAATAGCCCACAACATTTTATTAACTCATATTAAGCATAGGCCAAATAATTTTCGTGAGTACGACAACGGGCTAAATAAACCAAAAGGATTTAATTTAATTATTGTGTGCACATTAGCTGTAAACAGACACATGGCAACATGTGTTAGACTGTTAGTACATTTGAATGCATTCACACACACATAAAAATGTCAAAACTTGTGTCAGACGGACCAAAGTATAATTCTCTAAATTCTCTACATTTCAACTATTATAGAGAAAAAGTCAATGATGGATTATCATTTCAATTGTTGGCTAATTCAACCATTTCAGCATCAGGTGAATGGAATGTCAGCATTTTCCAGGCTGATCAGTAGAAAAATGACCACCAAATCGTCATTAACATTTACTTTCCAAGAAAATACGGTATTCCCTGCTATGATAATGAAAAGTATACCCAAAAAGCCATGTGAATGAATACTAAATAGCATACAACTGCCCTTTGGATAAAAACAAATGATATTATAAGGAACTAAACTGATACAAAATTAACCAAAACTAAGGAGACAAATTAGATTCTTTGGGCTGACAGCTACGTATACAGGAATAAAGCAGAACTCGTCAGTGCCCAAAACCCATATGCATTTTTTACAGTAAAATTGTATAAATTTCAAGAACTACGAGGACTCTAAGAACGTTGTAAAAAAAGCCCAAAGAGCATCAATTAAGTTTTCAACAGAAAAATTATCTCAAACTGTGCAGCTTTCTTCTTCTATTTGTGGCATATAAGTTCAAGAAAAAAACCAAAGATTTAATCATTGACCGATATATCACAATTATTTAAACAAGTTCAAAATTGTTCAAGAAAAACAGGTTACCACCAACGAAAATATTAATAAATAAATACAGGAAAGGCATAAAAGATACCTTCTTTGAATTCAAGCTGGAAGGCAGAGCTGGAAGATCTTTCACTGCTGGAAGGAAGAGAGCTGGCCGCAATGGAACTAGTAGCAGCTTGCTCCTGCATTTTCCCCCAAAAGAAAGCAACTTCACAGAGAAAATATGAAAAAATATACTAGGTAGAGATGATGAGTTTGGGTATACTGATCGGGATCAAGAAAAAAAGAGCGGGATGTGAATGGGCTACTGAACAGGGACAGGGAGATCCGGAGATAGCTAGAAGAGAAAAGAAATGGAAAAATACAATAGCCGTTTGATTGGGTTTGATCTGACGGGTTTAACGTATTGATCGTGGAGGCCTGTGAAGCAAGAGAGTGTTGCGGTAATCAAAGGTACGAAGAGATTAAGCGTGGAATGCTTCTGGTCGTTCGATATGATATGTTTGGATGACATCAGAGCCTCTGCTTATTTTTTTGATGTCAATAAGCCTTCGGCACCAGGGTGCCATCGGGTGGAAGAGCCCTCGGCTACTGCTCTATAGCCGAAGGCACCTCACTCGACAAGATATCCGCCTCACATGCGTACAGATCACCGTACCCCGCACAGACGTCCCATCCAACAGCCGCATTAAATGCGGCCACATGCGGCTGCCAGCGCCAACCAGTTGAGGTGACCCCTCGGTCAATGAGCGCTTGACACGTGTCCCTGCCCGGCATTTATTGCTACTATAAATAGCACCCCTTTTCCCCATTTGTAACCAAGTGATAACACACTGAATACACTCTCTCTACTTTTATTCACTTACTCTGACTTCTCTCTAAATTACTCCCCGTAATAACCCTTCGGATATATACCCCCGGGTAGACTATCCATCATTTGGTGCTCTCGTTGAGAGGTTGAACAATCGAGTAAGAAACCCTCCCCCTCGACCAAACACAAAACACTAGCCCTCTATCAAAATGGTGAGGACAACACGTGCCAACTCAAAGAACGTAGAAGACAAGAACCTGGCCCTCGGCGACGTCAACGCCCCCGAAGCCTCTCACGGGGCTCCCGAGGGCGGTGTCATCGCTGGGTTGGAACAGGCGGCTGTCGACCTACGCCTTCAGATCCAACAAAATGCCCCCAATGCCCGCCTCGGCATCGAAGCCAAGAAGAAAAACCGGAGCGATGACCAAGTCAGCCCTCCGGTTCTCACCATCGACGTACAATCGGCGCTCTCCGCCTTCATCCAGACGCTCACCCAGAACTCGGGTGCCTTCGGCACCCTGGCTCCAGCTCACCCTCAGATCGGGGAAAATATCATACATCCCCCTCTGCCACACCCCTTCGGAAATCCCACCCCTCGGGTGAGAAACGACGAAGGGGTGGTGGCCCAAGAAACATCTTCCCAGGAAGTTCAGTCCCGGGACCGCCATAATGACAACAGGGAGAGGCCCCGTACTTCCGCCCTCAACCGGCTCGGAGGAGGGCCAGACCGCCGAGGGGTCCAAGACCGCCTCGGGGGGAAAGCACTCCAAAGGCCCCAGGAAAGCGGGGGATCTGTTTCGAGGGCAGACGAGGAGCGTCCCCCTCGGGACAAAGGCAAGGCACCCCTTCATGCCGATGATGCTCGGCACCAAATCAACCAGGCCCACTCGGCCCGGGTTCGTTCGCAAGGGGCGGAGACCCTCTCGAGGGACCCCCGGGACGAGATTATTGCGGCCCTCCAACGCCGGCTTGACGAGATGGAGTCCAACAAAGCTCACGCCACCACCTCCACCCCTCACTCAGACCTCAAATACGAGGCCATGATGGCCAAAATGGAGGAATTACAGAAGAAGGTGGCCGAGGGCTCCGGGGAACCCGTCATCCAGCTCCGGACTCGGACGCCATTTACCCCAAGGGTATTGGCGGCCCGGATCCCGGAAAAATACCGAGGGCAACACATACAGCCCTACAGTGGGAAAACGGACCCCCAGGAACATTACAGCAAGTACCAGAACAGCATGATGATGGTGGGGGCGTCAGACGAATATTTGTGTCGTTGGTTCCTCTCCACCTTAGAGGGACCAGCATACGAATGGTTCAACAGGCTGCCCGAGGGCTGCATTGATTCGTGGCAAGAACTCGCCCAACGATTCTTGACACAATTCGTCGGGAGGCGTCGCACAAGGAAGCACTTCTCCCACCTCCTAACAATACGCCAGAAGAAGGATGAGACCCTTCGGGATTTCCTGGAGCGCTGGAGGACGGAGGCCGACAAAGTCGACGGCGCTGATGACGGGACCCTCCTAGCCCTCCTACAAACCATCCTCCGCACCGGCAACTTTTCAAGGAGCCTCATCATTGAACCCCCCCGCGACTACATAAGGGCCTTGCAACGGGGGGACCGGTATGCTGAGGCCGAGGAGGTGGAGAAGTATCACCAACATCCGGACCAGCAGCCCCCGAGGGTTGACAACAAGCATAATCGAGGGCCGGGGGCTCCTCCAAATCGCCCCAAGACTTCGGGACCCTCCGATGACCGCCCTCGGCAAGGCCAAGCCAAGCCCGGGGGAGGTTATAAGAGCAACCCTAAGACTTGGGCCCAGCCCATTCTCCTGGACCGCCCTCGGACACCATTGACGCACCCCGTCAGCATCATCCTCGATTTTGCCGAGGAGAGGGGCCTTGTTGAGCGCGACTCTCGCGCACCCCCGAGGGTACAGGCTATCAACCCTCAGTTCCCCTACTGTCGCTTCCATCGGCACCAGGGGCACAGGACCGATGACTGCCATCAGCTGAAAACGGCCATCGAGAGATTAATACAGGCAGGGCACCTGTCCCAGTTTGTCCAGAGCCCTCGGCAGGAGGGACCTTCTCATCAGGGGCCTCCCCGAGGGCACCACACGAAGGTGAACGCTTGGGTAAACCCGAATACCATCCCCCTCGGCAAGAAAAGGGAGATTGGAAACTTGGAAGAAGAGGAGGAGGAATACCCCCACTACCAGGAGAAAAAACGCCACATCCTCATGATCACCGGTGGCAACACAGGGGGCGATTCCACCAGCCAGCGAAAGAAGTGGGCTCAATCGCTTTACGTAAGGGAAGTCACTCATATGCCCCCGGTAAAGCGATTGAGGGAGGAACCCATCACCTTCACCAACGCAGATCTCCCTCCTACTTCTTCTCCTCACAGGGATGCCTTGGTGATTCGGACGGAGATCAACGACACCATCATTCACCGAACTTACGTTGACACGGGCAGCTCCGTCAATGTAATGTACCTCAGCACCTTCAGAGAGCTGCATCTGGAGAGGGGGTCCCTTCGGCCCATTAAGACCCCTCTTGCCGGCTTCACCGGCGATACTATTAATTCCGAGGGGGTAATAACCCTCCCGGTGATCTTCGGCGACGGGATCCATAGAGCCCAGCTCGAAGTGGAGTTCGTCGTCGTCAACATTGACTGCGCTCACAACATCATCCTCGGCCGGCCAGCCCTCGAGGACCTCGAAGCCATCATCTCCATGAGGCATCTCTGCCTCAAGTTTCCCGCCGAGGGGGGCATTGGCTACTCCCGGGGGAACCAAAAAATTGCCCGCGCCTGCTATCTTCAGGTCACTAAGAAGGTCAGCAAGACGGAATTCCGTGTTGACACCATCACCGGAGCCGTCGACCAAGAGGAAAGAAGGCCGAGGGCTGAACCGGCCGAGGACGTAGAAGACTTTGCGCTCGATCCGGCCCAGCCGGAGAGAGTCGTGAAGATTGGAGCCCAGCTCCCTGAAGATTTGAAGACCGGTATCACCGACGCCCTCCGCACCTACTCCACTGTCTTTGCATGGGGGCCGGAGGACATGCCGGGAATCAGCCGAAGGGTCATCACCCACCGCCTCTCGGTGGACCCTTCGGCAAAAGCAGTACAACAACGAAGGAGACCCCTCTCCGCCGAGAGGAGGGAATTCGTGAAGAAGGAGGTCGCCATGCTCCTCTCAATCAAGCACATCAAGGAGGTGAAATACCCCTCATGGCTAGCGAATGTAGTCCTCGCACAGAAGCCCCCTACCATCCGCATGTGCGTGGACTACACCGATCTCAACAAAGCATGCCCCATGGATCCATTCCCTCTACCAAACATTGATCAATTGGTGGATGAGACCGCGGGGGTGTGAAATCATGTCCTTCCTCGATGCCTTCTGAGGGTACCATCAAATATTCATGCACGGGGAGGACGCCGAAAAAACTGCCTTCATGACTCCCGAGGGCATCTTCTGCTACCTAGTGATGGCCTTCGGCCTAAAGAACTCAGGGGCCACTTACACCCGGATGGTGGCCCGGGTCTTTCAAGCCGTCCTAGGGCGCATCATGGAGGCCTATGTCGACGACATGATCGTCAAGAGCAAGCAATCTTCCAGCCATGCTGACGACCTCCGGGAAATCTTCGCCATCATGCAAAAATTCAACCTTCGGCTAAACCCGAAGAAGTGCACCTTCGGCGTCCAAGGGGGCAAATTCTTAGGCTACATGGTGAGCCGAAGGGGTATTGAGGCCAACCCCGAGAAGATCCAGGCCATCATCAATATGGAGCCCCACGCAATGTGAAGGAAGTCCAACGGTTGACGGGCCGCCTGGCAGCCCTCAACCGTTTTCTATCTAAATCGGCGGAGAAATCTCTACCCTTCTTCCAGATCATGAGGAAGACGGCTGGCTTTCTATGGACTCCGGAATGCCAGGAGGCTTTCGACGAGCTCAAACGATATCTATCTTCACCTCCTGTGCTCTCCAAACCCAAGGTAGGGGAGACCCTCTACCTCTACCTTGGGGTTAGCCCGGCGGCCATCAGCTCTGTGCTCATCCGGGAGGAAGACGGCATCCAACATGCCATCTTCTACGTTAGCAAGACCCTAAAGGAGGCCGAGCTCAGGTACTCCCCTGTGGAAAAAACGGTGTTGGCCATCGTTTGGACTGTCAAGAAGTTGGGCCACTACTTTCAGGCTCACCCGGTTCAGGTCCTCACCCATCAACCCCTCGGCGCCCTCATGAGGAGCCCCACCAGCTCCTCCCGCATGGTGAAATGGGCTATCTTCTTGAGCCAGTACAACATTGACATCCGCCCAAGGCCTGCCATCAAGGGCCAAGCCCTGACGGACTTTGTGACGGAGTGTACCGCAAGGGCAGCCACGGACGGGGAGCCCTCAGCTACCTCGGACGACTGGTGGACCCTCTACACTGATGGCTCCTCCGCGACCAGAGCATGCGGGGGAGGGGTAGTCCTCATTACTCCCGAGGGCTTCAGGG